GATCACTAGCCACATATACCCAAACTGCGTATTGTGTTTCTGAACTTCTTAGCCACAGCAGATCTCAATTCCCATCCTGGCAAAAATGCTGGAGCAGTCATATAGTCTCTCAAAAGAAGGGCCTCAGACCCCAGATTCACTTGTACAATCACCCAGTTAGTGTAAACAGCAGCACATCAAATATGAAAAATCTCAGTAACTTTCGGAAGAAAACTGTAACAAAACAAGCTCAACAGTTAGGTTTTGCTGTCAGAACACATAAATTAGGGTATGACAGTGATGGTTTTGTAACCTTCATTATAAAGGTCTCTGTTGCAGAGCAACTTATTGCCGGAAAAATGTGTACTATATGCAACCTTGTATACTTGACTATTTGTGTGCGTCGAATCTTAATGCCTGACAGATCTCGTATATATTGGCTCCTTTTTACCTGAACCTTGACTTCTGCTCTCTTGCTTTCACCCAATGGAACTTAATCTAATATTTCTGAAACATCACATACTGTTTTGTTATTGATTTAATGGCTACCGTTTCATGAATATCCCTTTGAATTACAGATGGATTGGCTCAATATCTAGTTGTAGCCCATGAGAAGACAGGTATCCTTTTTTATAACCTATACAATAAGATGTAGCAAAATGCCAAGAGATTTAAAAATTATATAGAAAAGAAGGCTCCAGCTCCAGAAAACCTGTAGATTTGATCAGGCAGTAAATGACATTATCTAATGCAGACCAAGGGACCACTATGACAGATCATAAAAGTAAACCATTGGGATCATAATAAACTATCCTTGTAACCATCCTAGACTATGCCCAACCAATCTGTCTTATTTCCATAGAACTGGTGTCCACAGAATGACTAATGATGAAAGGTACATGACAGTGTTTTGTATTATAAATGCTGTGACTTACATACTGTATCAGGTATCATAACCAAATATGTAATAGTGCCATTTGTGTAAAAACATCACTTTTATGTTATAATTTGCTGTGGCTGCCTGATGAGTACGAGAACATTCACATAGAAACCACAGAACCAAAAAGGTCTGGGTCAGAAAGTGATTTTATTTTTAAAAAGAGGAAATTTTGCTCACCCTAATAAGGCAGGCTGTGGTCACCAAATAGGCCAGAAACAAATTAAAAGTATCAATTATTTTTTGCCAAATATTAGTATATTTTCTCACTTTAAAATTCTGTGTAAATAATGCTTCAACCTGCTACCTATACAATCCTGATATTACCTTCTCATGTCCTTCATTTATTGTTCCACAATCAACCTGTTGTTGGTGCATCATTGCTTTTTTTCTGTCTGCTGACTGCATTTCTTTCCAGATTACAGCCTCCAGATTACTACTACTAATACTATTAAAGGGAATTCTTTCCCTTCTTCTGCTACTCAAATCATCTCTTTTAGGAAAGGCAGGGTTAAATCCTTCAAAAACTAAAGAAGCAAGAATTTGGTTGTCCTTTGTCTATAGACCTAGTTAACAAGGAGAAATTGGACTCCATTCCACTTTTTTACACTTTGGGAAAAGCATTATCTGTCATTTCTGACTGTAAATCTGATTGAGGCTCCGCACAATCTCTAGTAATAATCTTCAAGCCTTGTTTTTATCCAGTTGTGTACTTGGCTTCTTCTCCCCTCCTGTTTTAATGTTTAGCCATTCTATCCAGTTCATTGAGGAGAAATGGGAAACCATTACTTTAGCTCTGCAGAGTCACATACCTATTCCACTTCCAAAGAAGGGAAAATCCATGAGTTTTTTACTCCTCTTCCAAAACCTTTTCTGTCCTACAAAGCCATTTTTAGCAATAAGGAATAGATAGCAGAATGTGCAGCCTTGCTCCCTTTCCTTCGTCCCAATCTTTTTCCTTTTATATTCCATTTTTACTATCTTATTATAGATCCTTATTAGCTGCTCTGGGATGCCTAAAATTAATGGTTTCTTAAATAAAAGATTCAGAGCTTTGTGTACACCCCTAGCCTATGCATCCCTATTTATATGACCGGGAAAGGGGGAGTTCCTGTAGGGACTAAAGTTCTGTTGCAATATAGCATAGTGGAGAGTGTGGCATCAGCCAAACAGAACGACATCAAGGGGAGATGGGACAGAAAGATGACATATCCAGGAGGAGGCAGCCAACAGTGTCCAAGGGGGTAGCCGGAAGCATATATCCCTCATAACCATGGTCGATGTTGAAGACAATATGAAGGGTAATGGCCAGATATCAAAGTCTCAGTAGATAATAAAGTCACAGTAGAAGATAAAGTTGCAAGATGGCAAAGCGGCCATGACAGACAGCAGCAGCAGTGGCGGCTGCTCCAACAATTGAACTCCATCCATACCAACCACGCTCATATCCATTGCCAGAGCTACACTCCATTGACCCAGTCCATATTGTCATGAGGGGGGGGGCAAACAGCCCAACGGCACAGTACAGTGGTCCAGGCAACAGCGGTAATACCAGCAGGCCACAACAAAGGAACCCCCCCCCACTCCAACCACGCCCACGACAACAACCGAAGCCATCCTCCGCTGGCATCAATGCCCATGCCAGCCGCCTCAGCCGCTCCCCACTAATCCAGCCTATAATGTCCATAAGCAAGGGGGGAGCAACTAAGATAGTACCATGGTGTGGGCAGCGGCAGAAATCTCTAAACTAAGCTTTTCAGCAAGCCGGCCTGGCCTGAATAGAATAAATTAAATTATTAATTTAAATTGTCAATTTTAATTTAATCCTAAATTTGATGTAAATTGTCAATTGAAGGTTATTGGATTTCCTATTTAATCTTTTTTAACTTTTGTCATATGTGGTTTTTATGTTGTACGCCGCCCCTTGGGAGAAGGGTGGCATATAAATCCAATAAAACCAAACCAAACATAATTCAGATTCTCTGCAGGAGGCCAGAGAAGGGATGAAATGTTGAATGAAAGAAAAGACTATTGCAGAGTAGTTTCACAAAGCAGCCTCCTTTTATGGATGGGAAATAAGAGCTTACTGTCCCAGCAATGCTGGGTTTTGAAGATCCTGAAGATCTTTTTCTAAGTGAATCAAGCTGCAAAAGGGTGCTGAGCTTGAGAACAGCTAAGATATAAAAAGGTTCCAACTTTAGTAGGAAGGCAAAGAATATTCTTATATTGAGATCTATAAGATGTCTATAATTTACCTGTGTGAGCTGCTTCGTGGCAGGAAAGTAGCATGATTTGCCTCTTATTGGCATTTCCCAGCAGTTCTCAGCTTTGAGCTGTAGTTCCATTCCTTGGAAGAGGTTTCTGCTTATACACAAAAGCCTCCTCCATCTATTGGGACAATTCAAGGTAGCCGTCAAAGTGAAACATAGCAACACAACCTCCTTTTGGTTAGAAGTTGGGGGCATGTATTCCTTCATGAAGCAGCTTTGTAAGGGATGGGATTACATAAAAGCATCTTTCAAACTTTTGCACAGGTTGAGATACAATGTTCATTCAATTGTACCATTTCTTGGACTGAAATTGATTTTATAGTGCAGACAACCTGGAGCACTGAATAGATCAGATTTAATTTTGATTAAATGTTTGACACATTTAATACTTACAAACATATTAATTTTGATTAAAAGCATAGAACAGAAATTTGCAACCTCTGGAACATAGCAGCACACCTGACAATTTTGAACTGTATAGAAATGACCCTGAATGTCCAAATCATTCAGCGGGTTTTACAGTATAAAATACAGCCTACTTTCTAATAACTGTTATTATACAACCAAGCTGCATATTACTATTTTGGTATGTCCTTTCCCAAGAATGATTCCACTGTTATGTAACGTAGAAAAGAAGATAACCATCTCTTCATTTACCTATAATGGGACTGTTGTCAGTTGGAGGTTTTGAAGTGAGAAAAACATATTCTCATATTGAAAGCAGTATTCCATTGAATGCTTAGGTGTTACAAAGTCCTCATAGTATTTGTCAATCAATCTACACCCAAGAGCTGAAACAACATAAATCACTTTCATCTTTTTCACTTAAAATGAATTTGCTCCCAAGGAATCTGTATCAGGTCAGAAGCCATGCATCTCTCTATTGCTCTGTCCTCGGCCCAGCAGGATTCAATCACATGAACTTTTGCATTCAGAAGGAATGACCACATCAATAAAGGCTTTATTTAAAGGCAGAATGAGAAGATAACACACAGCAGTACATAAGACATCAATGGAAAAAAAACCTCCACAAATATCAAAGAATATAAAACACTAACAAATACATTTTTTTAAAAAATAAGAACAAAGAAAGACCTTATGCCTCTTCTTCCAGTCAAGATGGCAGGCAGACCCCTTCGAAATCGGAAAATATATAGCATCATCTTGGATCTTTCTGAACAACTAATACAGACTACAAAGTGAAATTAATCACACCTGTTTTCAATGACCTCATCTCATTTGATTTGGCCAAGGCTGAACAGAATCAACTATGCAAGCCGGCCATCAAAAGATAAAGGAGCATTGAAGATGAGAAACACCAATCTACATAGGTGTTCTGTAATAAGGACAGGATAAAATAGAATATAACCTTTTAATAACTAAAATAAATCATTGGTTAATTCTGTGTGACATTACATGGGGATATAAAGTTTTATGTGCCACACATCTAAGTTAAAAGAATACATTTCAACTATGCCTCCTGATGAAACCACTATCACTGCAGCCATGCAGTCAAAATTAAAATATTTATTCTGTTAAAATGCTAGAAGACTTTTTCATAGGCATAAATCTGTGACCCATCCTATTTCCCAAAGTAAGCTGGATGCACCCAATTATTTAGAAGAAACTAAGCTTTTAAAATATTTCCATTTTCCAAAGAACAAAAGTTATCATAAACCACACTTAATTAATTTCATGAATGCTTCATTACATTAATTTGTTGAACATTCAATATAAATGTATAAATGTAAATAAATAATATATAATTTCACTTGATTCTTTAAAACAAAAAAGGTATGAAAGGGCTTACTCACATTTTGCTGGTAGATCATAACCACAAGTGATTTTGGCTTGTCCAGTTTCACAGCCGCTCAGACTGCGACATTCAGCAACTAGACAAGGACCAGCAGCTCTATGTATACATCCATCCACTAAAGAAAAGAACACAGTTTTCAATTAAACAAACTTTTTCACTGCTTTCACAAGAATGAGACAGAGCAAAATCAGCTTCCAACAATAGTAGTAGTAGTAGTAGTAGTAGTAGTAGTAGTAGTAGTAGTAGTAGTAGTAGTAGTAGTAGTAGTAATGGAACAGCTTATATCCTCTGACGTTACCTTAACAGTTCCTAGGTCCTTGGTTAGGACTCAAGCTGTTGAGCTACCAACTAGCCCCAAAGGCTGTGAATCTCACCAAAGATTAACTTAATATTAATATCGATATCGATATCGATATCAATATTAATAATAATAATAATAATAATAATAATATTAATAATAATATTAATAATAATAATAAAACATGCACTGGCTGATTATTTAAAAGAAAGTCAAGAACATCTATTAATCGAAGTAAAGAACAAAAATCTACTGAAGGCCCAACAGACGAAACAAGAATACAGAAAAGATGTGATAAAATCAAGAATGAAGAGTTGGCAGAACAAAGCACTGCATGGCCAATTTCTGGAAAAAATAAAAGATAAAGTGGACAGTGAACAAACTTGGTTATGGTTAACAACAGGTACATTAAAGAAAGAAACAGAGTCACTAATCCTGGCTGCGCAAGAACAAGCTATCCGCACAAATGCCATTAAGGCCAAAATCGAAAAATCCTCTGATGATGCCAAATGCAGACTTTGCAAAGAAGCTGATGAAACTGTTGATCACATACTCAGCTGCTGTAAAAAAATCACACAGACTGATTATAAATTGCGGCACAATTCAGTAGCGCAAATGATCCATTGGAATTTGTGCAAAAATTTTAATATTAAAACAGCAACAAACTGGTGGGAACATAAGCCTGAAAAAGTCACCGAAAATCAGATGGTCAAGATCTTGTGGTATTTCCGTATACAAACGGACAAAATACTGGCGCATAATACACCAGACATCACACTGGTTGAGAAAAACAAGGTTACAATCATAGATATTGCAATACCAGGTGATAGCAGTGTCGCCGAGAAGGAATATGAAAAAATCGCGAAATACCAGGACTTAAAAATTGAAATTCAACGATTATGGCACAAACCAGCAGTGGTAATTCCAGTAGTAATTGGCACACTGGGTGCTATCCCAAAAGCACTGGAATTACATTTAAAACAGTTAAAAATTGACAAAATCACCATCAGACAAATGCAAAAAGCCGCACTGCTTGGATCTGCACGCATATTATGAAAATACGTTATGACGTCCTAGGCCCCTGGGTGGGGTCCGACTAGTAATCAATGCCAAATCCGGCGAAACAACTGGCCGCTGTGATACAATTCTGTTGTTGCGAATAATAATAATATTAATAATAAAATAACAATAATAATAATATGTGCTTCTAAATCCAAGCCTGTTTGGGGAAAGACAGGGAAAATGTTTAATTTGAGAGTTGTCTTTCATTTACTTATTCCACAAAGAGGAGAAAAGGTGTTGCCTTTTGTTTGAAGTTCTGGCAAAATTGTAGCCAAAAACCTACCAGGATCTATCTGTTATGGATTAATGCAATAGGAACAACTCTCTGATGTAAAGATATTCTGCTGGGCTAGGGGAAAAATGGTTGACCAAGCTAAGACTTTTTCTCCTGTTCAAGAAAGGGGAAAAGAGAAAACCTTTTCCAATTTTGTTTTAAATAACGGTACATCCTTGATAACAGTGAAAGTTGATAGAGAGTCCCAAATATGGTCTAAAATGCATACAATGTACCCAAAGACAGACTTTACTTGCAAGGTATGGATATACACATGCCCAAAAAGATACTGATAGTATATACCAAAAAAAAAAAAAAAAAAAAAACCCTCTCACCCAACTCACATTACATTTCTGTCATATTAATGTGACTGGTTATTAACTTATCTAGTTACCAAGTGAAAAGAAAATTGTGTTTGTTATTATTAAAAACTCAGTCTGAAGATTAAAGTTTGATTCAATATTACTTTGTGGATCTATCTAATCCCTTTGGGTTAGTGGGTAGAATATTAAATGTTTGAATTAAATAAATAAAAACATTCCTGTAAATTACCTGATACTTGCTGCATTATAAAATCTTTTATATAAAGCAATATGACTACCACATTATCTCTTTATTCCTGCAATATTCTAAACATTTAATAACTTAAATTATAACATTTCAACTGTAGTATCAACCAAAATTGGAACATTCCTAGTGCTCACTGTCACTGAAAAGCAGAAGGGAGGAGAGATTTTTTTATTTCTATTTCTATTAATAAGTAATAGGAGAAATATTTCCCCCAATTAGAGATGCAATATCAATTAAAATAAATATCTAAAACCAATAAAAATAACTGCAAATATTGCTAGTCACTACACTAATGGCAATGTTACAATTTATTACAAGAATACTGTAGTCACCATATGTTCCTTTCATATGTTGAAATTACAGAAAGGGACAAAAAGTAGTAGAATATGGTGTGATCCAAATTTAATCTCTAATTCTACAAATATTTACATAAACAAAGGAAATCACAATCCATCTTGTGGACATTGAGTTTGTAATTCTGAGTTGCTACATCCATTCAAGAAATCTGTTTCAGACTAGATCCATGTAACAGAGATGGGGCTAATTGGTTTACTCCTTTTATCCCCTTAAATCTTATGTTTCCTATAGCATACTGAGATTAGAAGATAGTGAGATTGATCTCTTTGGACAAAAGCCCTTTTATAAAGTTGGAGTCAAATCATGACATATCTATCTCAGTCTTTATAAGGTAAGGCAACTACCATTTTCCCATACAACAAAGATTTCCAACCAGTTGACTTAATTAACTGAAGCCTTCCATTCATTTTAAAATGTGCTATAAATAATAGTTTAGGACCACTGTAAAATTGACATTTCATTTTGCTGCTTCCAGTAGTCTTATGACCAGTGAAATAGATAAATCAATGACACGTATTTGATCTGGTCTAGATATATCAAACTCATATTGACACGGCAGCATCACATGACATATTGGGACTTTTTTCCCCTTTGCTAAACTGGGCATGAACATGGCCAGTATGTGACACATCTAGCCCATGGGCTGGGAGTTTGACAGCCCTGGTCTAGAGTATCCCTAACCTTGTAGTAATTTTCACCACACATATTGTGAATGCTAGTTTTTCTTTCTTTAAGATTTCAGCCAAAAAAAGCCAGATGAATGTAGAAATATTAATAAGATTAGAAAAAGAAATTCTGTTGATTCTGTAAAGGGCATTGTATTATAAGTAACCAATATTTTTTATTTCACTTACAGGAGTGTATGCTATGAAATAGCATAAAGCTAGAGTTCACATTCCTACATTTAAATAGCAGATCAGAATCAAGTCACAATCAGGTTTCTCATTACTGCAAATTATTCAGGAGATTATTATTTCTTCTTATGAGTTTTCTGTTGCTACAGTTAAATGAAAGGAATACAACATGCATAGTAGATATGCCACTTTACAATACATAAAGTAAAGAAACTTGTACTAAATCAATGCTTCTATATATCACTATTACGGAGCTGAGGTAGAGGGAACATTTTTTTCTTATTTTCTTCTCTCTTTTATTAACTTTGGGATGAATATACAGTTTACAAAATTATGTCCCCTGGGCCATAAACAGTCAGAAGCAACCAAATAACAAACATTATAATAAAATCACAACAATGCATTAAAATCATATTAATATTATAAATAATTACAAGCAGCTTGTTCTTATGGCATATTCAAGGCTTTCATACAAAGCCCTTTTCACAGCATGTTGAAATTGGCCGAGGAAAAGAGCCAACCAAACCAACTCATATTATATAAGCTGTCTTTAATAACTTCTGTAAGAATACTCTTTTCTGAGCTGAATCTTGCTTGGCAAAGGTTAGCTACAAGCCAAGCTATTCTTGATTCCAAACTGATTCAGCATACCCACAGTATATCCAGAGTTAGCATGTAGGTTGACAGTATCAAATCTCCCTAAGTAGTTGTCTCTGATTGTTAAATGATCAAGAGAAGAACATTGCCCTTCAAGTAACTACTGTGGAATTATCATTTAAGTATTTAAGTAAAAAAACACCAAGTTGAATTATTAACTCTATAGTCTTAGAAACTGCAGTATGAAATTGACTTAGGTAACACTTACTGGGTCAAGTGCTAGTAATAACCTTTCTTGCTATAGGACAAAACTTGAAGGTCTTGTGAAAAAGGTGCTTGCCGCCAAAATTATAACGAGTCATCAAATATTTCACATTCAGTGGGGAGCTTTTATCATGTGCTATGAATATGAATGTTTAAATAAAGGGAACAATGCTTCTATTGTAGACTCACACTGTATTACTGAAGACAGTTTAGTAAATTACAGAGCTAGATTTTCTGGAAAGACTTGAGAAATAGTTGATGGGATAAAAAAGGATATTACTGGGTAGTTAAAAACAGCATTTTAAATGTAAAATCAGATTTTAATGTTGACCATGCACATGTAAATTGGGTCCATCAATCTGTATATAATAATCTACACAAACAAAATCCTCATCTTCTGTAAGAAAATAGTGTGCTGTTCTTTTGTAGGCAATTCTGTCAAGCATATTATCAATGATTTCACCATACACATGCAAAACATAGTTTTGACATTTCATACTTTTTCTAAATTTATATTATCTTAAAAGAAAAAAAGAGAATATTTTTAAAAACTTAATAAATTTTCTAGTTGCACAAATTCTACACCACCAGAAGGTTGTCTCTAATTCCAACATCACTTGAAAGTTGCAAAATTAAGGAGTTATGTCTTTATTAGCATGGATATATGTCCAAGGTAAAATCTCTTCTAAAAGTAAAAGATAATACAAAGTGCAACATGACAACACACATGATAGAGACAACTATATATCTCAATTTGTAATACTATGCTAATAAAGGTTAAACATTGGGGAAAAGTCACATTATTAGTGAAATATAATAAATATGTTTATCAAGAAATC